TTGGAAAAAAAAAATTTTATTATATTAAATAAAATTCCCTAATAATAAGAGATTCCGTCTTCAATGAAGCTTACGGTCATTTTATTTTGAGTGAGAGTCCCAGTTTTGTCACTGCAAATAACAGCCGTGCATCCCAGGGTCTCGATAGCTTCGAGATGTTTCACCATACAATCTTTGCTCGCCATTTTGTTCGCGGTAAGCGTGAGGCTAACGGTCATAGTGGCTATCAATCCCTCCGGTACGTTGGCAACAATGATGCCGAGCAGGAACGTGATTGAATTGATCCAAGTGTATCCCATAGTGGTGGACAAAGTGAAGAACAACATCCCGAGGAATATTGCCCAGCACGATATTAATTTCATAAATCGTTGGAGCTCGCGCGAGAGCGGCGTCTGCCTTGGCGCCAATTTAGAGGTTAGCTTAGCGATCCTACCCATCACGGTGTGATCACCGCGGGCAACTATCACTCCTTTTCCGCTCCCTGTCGCGCGACATTAACGAAACTTTTAAGAAAGATGGAAACGACGGGTAAGAGGGAGAGGGATATATAAGGAAACGAATAGAAATGCAAATTTTGCTTTCCTCACGTGTCACGTTTAGATACCTTCCACTATGTCTGTTGTGAAGAAAACCATATTCTTAGCTTGTAACACGTCAGTTGTTGGAATAATGTTGGCCGTTCTTAAAAGCGGAATCGATTCGCCGGTAATCGAAGCATGGTCCACTTTAAGACCTTAGGATCACAACATATTATATACATATATATTTCTTTTTGTGTTTGTGTTGATTGGTTAGTTAAAAAAAAAAAAAAAAAAAAAAAAGAAGAAAACGAATGAGAATTATTAATATTAATGATTAAAATTGTTATTCATATTATTTTATATATACCAGTGATTGAAGATGTACTAGTGAATAAGTGTGTATTTTACAACGACAAAGCTACGATGACAACGACGCTTTACGATATGTATGTATATCTCTGGAGCGTCGAGGAAAGAGAAAGGCGAGGACTTTTTTCGCCGAGAAATAAGAAAGTTACGGCCGCAACTGCAGCGATACGGATTTACCTTGACATTCCAGGATCCTAATGTCAGCGGGTACTCGTTCACCGGTTTCCAAAAGGACAATGTCCCCCACGACTAATTCGGCTACGAACACTTCCTTTTTTTGCCCGTCCCTCAGAACTTTAGTCTTTTGTGGTAACATCTGTTGGAACGATTCTATGATTTTATTACTCTTCGACTCCTGGTAATGGCTGAACATCGCCGTGACTAAAATTAATAGGACAAACACGATACTGAGCCCCAAATGCTCGTTCGACGCTTCACCGTAAGTACTATGTTCCAAAAGATAATTGCACAAGCATAATATAACGCCTACCTAAAGGATAAATCGATAAACCTTTTATTAGAATTATTATAATATAATGCCTATCGTGCCATTATCTATAAAAATTACGAGAGAATGGCGAGAATGGCAAAGAAATATCTTATCTCTTTTATACTTTTTTTTCCCCACGGGATATTTATTATACCCATATCAACGAAGAAAATCCTCCGAAACACAGACGTAAGAATTTTAACAAGCTGGAAGGTTTTTTCGGTGGCGTCAGTGTATTTGGGCCAGTTTCGGCTAAACGAGCGCGTGCAACGTTCATGGAAAGGCCATGCGTCGCATCGGTTTCTAATCTTTGTAATAAATCTTCCAACGGTTGGAGGTGAATATCTGTTTCTATATCACGGCGTAATAATTCGAGATTAGCATTAGCACGACGTCTTCGTTTGTTAAACCATCGAAATATGTTAAAATAGTTCATTATAAATATTATTGGGGATAGATTGGTTAAAAGAAAAATGTATTTTTTTTTTTTATATATATAAAAAATATGATATAACCAACATACGCGTGTTTAATACCAAAACTGTATCGAGATATCGTAACAGATTTCTCAACAGTAACGTATAACGATTCGATTTTACCCTGAATAAAATATATTTTTGTGTATAAATAATTATTTATTGCACGAGAATACAAAATGTTTCGAGTATGTTACGTTATTATACAAGTTGTTACATTTTGATATTTTAAATAAATTATGTAAAAAGATAAAATAAACTTTGGTAAATTAATTATTCGTATAACGATCAAATATGAAATTTATAAATATTTGATTCAATTTAATTCATGAATGAAAAATTAATTCGTTCGTTATTATATAAATTTGTAAATTTTTTTGTTATTGCAAATATTTAAACATGTTTTTTTCTATTGTAAAAAGTTATGTAAAATTACGTTTTGTACGTAATAATTAAAATACCGACAGTATAGTATAATAATTGAATGAAGGGAAATGCTCTACTTTATCTACCGAGTGTTTCGAGTGTCGACGAAAGAAAGAAAAAGATGGTGGCGCTGATGTGCAAAGGCCGAAAGCTATTCGAGTCTGAAAACTAGGTAGACGCCACGCAGAGAAAGCAAGTTTTCGGATCGCCATAATAGCGCCATAGCGGTGTGTACATCGTCCCACTCGTTCGTCGTTCGTGACGGGACGCTTACCGACGCTCGGCGTCGTTTTTTAGAGTTTTGATTAATGAGTGAAATATTCCAATCAAATTAAGTGTTCTTGTCGCGATTATTCCTTACGCTGGATTAATATTCAAATATACAACGTTCAAGAAGAGTCGAAGAGAAGATCGACGTTGGGGACGCGTGAGTGTGTACTTTGTGGGTGTCTGGTAGTCAAGAAAACAGGCCGGAATGGAGAATAGGCCGGCACCACTTCGCTCTAGGCGAGTCTGCCGATTTTGTTTGACCGAATCAGAACCACTTTGCTTCATTTATGAACGGGATCATAGCAAACCGTTTCAAGTACCACTTACCCTCCAAATCATGTCTTGCGTCGCCATCGAGGTAATTATTCTCCTCTAAAACGGCATCGACTGCCACTGATGTATTTCCTGCCTGTCTTTTGTACCATATTCCCTCATACTTTTAAATATTTTTATTACTCGTTATGTTTAATCCATCTTTTTTTTTTTTTTTTTTTTTTTTTTTTTTTTTT